AACTTGCAATACTATGCTGACTAGAAATAGTGAAAATAGGCATCCTTATCTTGCTCCTACTCTTTGGGGAGAAACTTACTGCCTTTTAAATCTAACATATACTGTAGTTACTCTCTTCTTTCATTAGAAATGTTATTCATTTAATCAATTTTGCCAGAAGCATGTCCATCTTGTTAATTTTTTTTCAAACAAAAACAACTTTTGCTTTGTGAATCTATTACTGTATTGTTGTTTTGTTCTGTATTGATTTATGGTCCTATTTTATTATATTATCTGTTCTAGTTTTTTTTTTGTTTATTTGGTTATTTTTTCCTATTTTATAAAGAATAATGCTTAATTTATATAATTCAAAACAATATATTTATCATTTATCATTTAAGGCTATGAATTTTCTTTAAAACATTGTTTTTGCCATATCCCAGATGTTTCTTTATATGTGTTTTATCTTTGTTTTATTTTAAAACTCCAGTATGATTTCATCTTAAACTTTGAGGTTTTTAACAATTTTCTAAAATTTCCAAATATTTTAGCAATCAGATACTCTATGAAATGTGTTGAGGGTTTCTTTTGACTAAGCACCTCATCAGTTTTTGTATATGTTCCATATGTACTTGAGAGAAGTATATCATACTGTATTTCTTCATGTAAAACTATATACATGTGTATTGGGCTGAGCTTTTACATTTATTGTTCAAATCTTCCATAGAATTACTGATTAATTTTGTATGCTTGACTTTTCAAAAATGAGGAGATATGTGTTAAAGTCTTCCACTGTGATGGTGTATTTATTCATTTCCCCTTGTAGTTCTAAATATTTTGTTTCACATGTTTGGAGGTTACTTTATGAGGAGTACACATGCTTGTAATTGTTATACCTCTTAGAAATAGTGACTCATTTTCACTAATAATGTTTTAAGCATGAAAGCCCTTTATCTGATATTAATATAACTACATCATTTTCCCTGTGGATATTATTTGCTGGATGTATCTTTTTTCATTCTTTAACTTTTAATCTTTAGGTGTCCTCTTACTATGTGGATATGTCTCTTGTAAGATACTTATGTCTAGTTCCTGTTTTCTTACTTCATCTGTTGAACCTTTACCTAGGGAGTTTGACCTATTTACATCAATTATTATTATTGACATATTTTCACTTGCTCTTCTTATCTTAATTCATTTTTGTGTCTCATTTTTAATGTGTTTCTCCTTAATACATTCTTACCACTTTCACATCCTATGGCTTCCCTGCTATATCAACCCAATTCTGCTGATATTATCTAGATTGAGTTACATGGTTATGTGTTTCACCTAATCTTCAATCTTGAATCCACCCCCATTATTTATTACAGAATCACTTTACCAAGATATTTGGTCAATTTTATTTTATATTTTTGAGTTTATTTCTAAAATATCTCTACTTATTTAAGCACTTTACCCAGTGTTAGTCTTTGTGGGATAAACTTTCTTAAGCACTGTATGCCTAAGAATATTCTTTATCATGGCCTCATGTGTGAATGACATTTGAGCTAGATATAAAGCTCTGTTTTAATTTTTCTTTCAGTGTTTTAAAATACATATTTGTTTTATTTTTCTGTTTACTTTTGCTATTGGAAAGTTTTACAGTCATTGGAATTTTGTTCTTTGTACATAATCTTTAGGCTTTTAGATTTTTTTCTCTTTATTATTGTATACTATTTCATTTTAGTATAATATATCTGAATGTAGGTTTTTCTATCATTCTTGTTAGCCATTCTATAAACACTTTGATTTTTAAATGAAAAGAAAATGATGATAACATAAGGTAAAATAAAATAAAGCACTGTGGTCTATTAATTGTTATTAATTATTAAAATGTGTCTCAATTATGTAAAAAAAATTCTTTCTTTCGATTTTATTTTTCTCTCTTTTTGAAACTTCTATTATCTGTGATTAGGTTGATTCTAATAATTCCTTTATATTGTTGAGGTGTTCTTTCAAATGTTCTATTTTTTGGTCCTTTTCTTTATCCTCTTGGGAGATTACTGCAAAATTTCAGTTTTATATTTTACCAATTCTTTTATTTCTTTTTTATTGTTTTCATTATGTTGTTTTTTAAATTCTACAGGTTTTTTTTTCCTGAGCATTCTATTTCTCATATCTCTCATATCTCCTTGGTCTCTTTAGTCATATGCTTACTTGTTATTATTTTATATTAAAAATTATTACAAATACATTTGATGTTATTTATAATGTTGCTTGTTGCCTTACTTTTGAAATAGTCATTTTCCTCAATTGTTTTGATATTTTGACCTGCTGGTTCATTTTCTTCCGGAAATATTAGTTACTGTAGATAGCTGTATATATGTGGAAAGGTTAGATTCTGTCTGTTTCAGTCCCTATGACCTCAGTAGTGGAGATGTGAATAAAATCTGAGGTGAAGAGCCTCTGATACCAGGAAACTACTGTCAATCACTCCTCAACTCAAAGCAGTTTCTCAGATCAGGAGTCCACTTTTTCTATCAGACAGAAGTATTGCCTTGTAGAGAAGTAGGCTGTGCTCTCTCAGGCCTTCTCTCTCACTTTGTTGACTGGATTTTATTTTGTTTATTTTATGTCTTTTAAGGTTGCGAATTTTTTGTTAATAGTATGTTTGCCTTTTGAACACATTGAAGATTTTGCCTTACTGAGAAAGCAACCTTTTAAAAATATCATAATGAATATTTCTTCATAAAATAGGTATTCATTTGCCTACTGATGTACAACATAAAGTTAAAACTTAGACCTTATTAGCTAAGTAACCTATATTGTTGACAAAGGTTGATATAAGTTTTCTTTGGTAGCTTTTTTAGAGGTGAATGCAATCTGTACATTTTCACTAACATTGTACTCTTACATCTTTTAATGGGGAAAATGCACTTCAGGTTACCTGAAGTGTATTACATACTTTGAAACTGAACTCAATTGCTTAATGATATTCAAAAAGTAATTAGCCATTTACATGAAACAGGGCAGTACCTACAGCATAAAATTAAATAGGATATTAATTATTGTGCTTTAGGGCATAAATTAGACAATAAACAAGATCAGGAGAATATGTAATATGGCTATGGTTAAGCAGGATTAGATTCATTATCAGATTTTCAACCCCATTTCTAAGGAATAATGCACTGGGTGCTGTCTGACCAGGTAATATGGAGGCAAGGAAATGGTATAGTTAGAAAACTCTTACTTTATTGTTGCAGTAGATCTATAATATGGCTCCTTTTCTTCCTTAACATTTCTGCAACTTGTCGCTTCTACATTGAAATCTATCTGAATTCAAGCTCCTCAGAGGAAAAGTGCCCTTTTCCTAGTCCCGTCTCCCTCACTCCCTTTTTGTTCAATGTGTCCATTATGCTTCTCAAAGGCACAGTGGAAATGTACAATTCAGGCTGATGACGCCTCAGCTCGTAACCATCAGGCCTTTCAAAAATGACCTTGGAAAATTTACACTTTAAAAAGTATGACTAGGTGAGTCACATCTTAGAAAAGCATCTGCTTTTTGGATTTCTTCCAAAGAATAATTGTATTTATTTGATACTAACACATTGTCTGCCTAATTTGGTCAAATTTATCCTTATTTTGCAGAAGAGAAAATTGAGGAGGAATAGCTGACCTCAATAGCTGACTGTAGCTCCTTTCCAAGAACAATAAAGCAAAAATCTCTTAAAAAATGAATTTATATAAAATAAATGTGAAGAGTCCTAATAAAGTTAATAATGAAAAAATTTGAAAATATACATCTGAGTGTGACACAAGTCTAAAATGCCCTTTTAGATATGCATTGATATGATTTCAAATGTATTTTCAAAATTTTTTCCCTCGGGTATATACAACATTTATTGTATATACTGTAATAGATTATCATCTCAGAAACTAATTTTAGTCATAATATGTTCTTTCTTCACATTTTTTTCCAGTCTGATTTTATAAATTCTCTCAGATTGAAATGGAATTTTGCAAAAGTGGATTGTGAAGTTAGATTCTTCATGAAAAACTTGTTAGAGCATTGTTTGATTGTATGTTTTGTTTCTAGTCCTTGAGGAAAGAAAAAAACTTGCTTCTTACTCAGCTCTTGGTTTATTGCACAGAAATAAAATAAAGATACTTACAATGAAAATAGCTTAAAATTTCAAATCCTACATTGTAAATACAGCTTGTTCTGAAGTAATGAGTATTAACATGAAATATGAATATTATTTAAGTTTAATTTTCTTGGGAAGTCAAATCGATAAGCACACTTTGAATAATGAATTGGTGCAATTTTGGAATTGTATATGAAGCATCTTAGCATTTCTGAAAAATTATTCCCAAGAAGCAGTTCAGGAATTTCAGTGTTGCTATAATTGGATGTACCCTAAATTCACTAGAGGCAAAAGCAGTTTAGACTACTTTTGGTTACCAGCTGGGATATTTATAATAATCTAGAACATTAAATGTACAATGGGACAAGATATGCCTTCTAGGAAGGAAAGAGAGTCTCATTTAATTCATAGTGCAAAACACCTCTTGACTGTGAGTTGCTGGTAGCACTGATGGTATTAAGAAGGCTCCCAAAATGTTCAACCATTATACCTAATTTGTGGGATGTGATGAACTTTCCAGCTTTGCAAAGATGTGTATTGATTTTTGTCCAAAATGATATTTTTAATTGTATCTATTTGTAACCATGTCATGTGCTGGATCAAACTTACCTAACTTTGTAAATATTAATAGGAAGTTTTCCTCCATACATGAACTGATTTCTGTTTTTGCTTAAACATGTATAACTTTTTTTCAGCACACCTTATCTGCAAGCATTTTATAATGTATTTTTAAAAAGTTAATGTATACTCATGTCTTGTTTAAAAGTAAAATGCCTTAAATTACAAATTATTATTAACAAAATGCCACATTTCAAGTGAAAAATGTAAAATATACAACTAAATATATCAATTTACTCAAAAGGTTTTATTAATCTTTTCTTCCTTTTTCCTCTCAAGTTATCTGGAAGTATTTTGGATGTGTATAGTGGTGAACAAGGAATTTCAGCAATTAACATGGGGCTTACAAGTGCTTCCTGTCCAAGTAGTCTACCAATGAAAAGAGAAATTACAGGTAATGTTGCTTTTATAGTTTTACCCTTTTTATTTTTATTAATGACATAAGGTATAAGTGGCATATACTACGCTAACTAGAATTTTTAAAATATATCAAAACAGTTACAAAAAAGGAGACAGAGTAAATTCATCATTTCTTTTTATGATAGCTAAGGAGCAAGTTAATATAACTTACAGTTTGACTGAACTGATTCATTATTTTAGAAATTGAGCAAATATGCACATGCATTTTGTATAAATATATGCACATGTATATATACACACAGATATACATACATAATAAAAGTTTCATTTAACAATAGTTCCTTTTTCATTAAATAAATGCCATTTATTAACATAGTTACAAAGTAATATGATAAATTGGAGAAATTAGTCTATTCTTTGTATGAAGAATTTGATAAAAAACAGATATTGAAATTTTTTTCCTTTTTAGCTTGTTTTATGGATTTAATGATAGACTCACATTTAATTTTCTTAGTTGAAAATAAACCCTCAATTTTCAATAGTTTATTTCAAAATTGTTACAATTTAAATTAAAGAAGCATAGTCAAATTCTTCCAAAATATAGACAAAGAAATCAGCCTGGGGTCAGAGGAGCTACTTTCCCAAAAGTGTAACAGCTGATTACAAGCAGAACTGGATTAACATAAGAATTTCCAGACTTACAAGTCCAATGTTAGTCCCTCCAAAAGAAAAAAGTAAATAAATTCACTTGAGAGTTCTATAATAAACCTTTGGTTTGGAGCTTAAACACCAATCTTTAGTAATTTTACCTAGTTAATGGTAAAATTTTAAAAAAATACAACATGACCACTCTTAAAGCATAATTAATAATTTAAAAAATCTATGCATTCTAATTATTCAGGCTAAAATTAATGAATATAGTTTTACACAAATACATTAAATAAAATACATTATTTTTTTAACTTTTTAAGCTATGACTCTAACAATATTCTATTATTTTCGTTGCATAACAACAAATTACCTTTGAAATTGACCAACTTAAAGTAATAAACATTTATAATCTCATTCAATCTCTGAGCATCAATAATGCAGGAGTGGCCTAGTGAAGTTGTTCTGACCAGACTCTCTTATGAGGCTGTTGTCAAGATGTCAGCCAGAAGTACAGACACCTGAGACTTGACTGGGGCTGGAGGATGTGCACCCAAGGTATTTCACTCAAGGTCTTGTAGGATAGTGCTGCCTGTTGGAAAGTGGTCTTTGTTCCTGACTGCTTGGACTTCTTCATAGGGTTGCTTGAGTGTCCTCATGACATGAGAACTAGAGATCAAAGAGACACTGACGTGAAAGTTAAAACTTTCTTCTGTTATCTAGCCTTGGACACTAGTCATTTCCACAGCAAAGCAGTGACATCACAGGTCAGCCTTATTTATTTAATGTGGGAGGGAACTACAAAGCATGAATACTAAGAAGCAAGAATCATTGTAGGCCATCCTGGAGGCTGACGGTCATATAAACACAACCACATCATACACAGAGGAAAGTGCCATTTAGTGCAAGATAGTGTGGAATTGTTTTCATGTGGATATTTGAGAAATATAGTGAGTTCCAACTCTCAGGATGTAGAAATAAATTACAAATAAAATATTTAGGTTGGAATAATTTCTTTCGGAATCTCAAAATTCTAAAAATAATAATTGAATACTGTACTATTTTCTGCATAGCATATTTATTTTGGTTATCACAATGATTATAAGGTAGGTGTTGTATGATAGTCATTTTACAGATGAAGAGCCTGAAACACGGAGAAGTTTGGTAATAGATCACATGACTATTAAACGGAAGGCCAGAATGTAAATTTAGTTTCTGTTATCCCGGAGCCTAAAAGGTTTGCCATTGCCTTTTACTGAAGAGTACTGTGTTCCAAATTTCTGAATATCTGCATCAAAAATATTATTGTATCATTTGGGGGCAAGTAATATTGTATTTTCACCTAGTAGTTCTGAATTACATTGCCTTGAGGGGTTTTAAGACAGAATTAAGCATTGTTCATATTTTTCTTTTGATCAGAAACTGACACTAGAGCTTTAACAAAAGAGAGACAGAAAAAGGACAACCACAACCTCAGTGAGTATATATATTTGTCCATATAAAATTAATGCAAAAGGAAATGCATGGAGGGTAAAGTGTTGGGTATTTTATTTTTATTTATTTATTTTTATTTATTTATTTATTTATTTTGAGACGGAGTTTCGCCCTTGTTACCCAGGCTGGAGTGCAATGGCGCGATCTCAGCTCACCACAACCTCTGCCTCCTGGGCTCAGGCAATTCTCCTGCCTCAGCCTCCTGAGTAGCTGGGATTACAGGCACGCGCCACCACGCCCAGCTAATTTTTTGCACTTTTAGTAGAGACGGGGCTTTCACCATGTTGACCAGGATGGTCTCCATCTCTCGACCTCGTGATCCACCCGCCTCAGCCTCCCAAAGTGCTGGGATTACAGGCTTGAGCCACCGCGCCCGGCAAGTGTTGGGTATTTTATTATCACTCCATAAGTATTTTGATGTCAGATGACCAAAATTAATTGCACATACAACTTGATTTATTTTGGGAAATATTAACAAGATGAACTCTCAGAAAAGCTGTCTATTTGCACAAAATGAAACATCTTGAACTCCCTCCTTGATCATTCACTCCCAAGGAGGTTGCCTGTGACTGAGATGAGTGCATTTGTTTATATTTTCCACACCAATGTGTTTATATTCACCACACCAATTCTGTGGTGACTCATTGACTCAAAGGTTTAAAGAACTAAAAGTGACTTTTGAAAATGTACAACATTTAAATAGCAGGAAACTTACTCTAGGTTCTCGTTTTCCTGTATCAATTTGTTCCTCCCTTCTTAAAGATATGTTATCTGAAAGACATTGCTATGTTGTGCGGAATTCCACCTCTGGAACAAACAGGACTCTCCTGTCTTTCAAAGAGTCAATTAGACTCCGATAACAGGTCATATGAGATGGAGAAATCGGGCAAAAAAAAGCAGATTGGCAGGGAGGCTGAGCTTTAGGGTGTTTGGTCAGGACTTAAGTTTCAAGTGAGCTTGACTAATTAAGTGTAAAGCCCTTTTTTTTTTTTTCTGGAAGCAAAATCAAAAACCGAGAAAAGAGTAGAATGAAACAAAAATAAATAGAAATTGCAAATTCCTAAAACTAATGAATAATTTCCTGATATGGCAGTAGCTGAAATTGATTCTACACCTACCTGTGAAACCTGCATCTGTTCATAAAGCACCTGCCTGTGTCACAGTGGTGTTTGCTGAGCGTGTGGCTGTGAGGCAAGAGCTGGCATGTGGTCCTAACAGTCCTCAGAAAAATGACTTGATTCCCAATGACCTTAGTGTTGGAGCAGATAACTGGTCCAGATTATGAGCGGGAGAGCTAATGGTTGATAGAAGGGATTAGTAAATTGAGGAACTATAGCCTTCTCTCCTAATTAACCTCTTAATGATTACTGACCTTAATCCTACCTTCTCTCTACTGTGTCTGGAGCTTAAACAAGTCATTTAATGTGGAGTAACATAGGTGTCCTGTATGTCCATTATCAAAGTGTTTCTTAATCTAGATATACCTGCTATGTCATCTTGCTTTTGGAGGAAACAAACACTAAAAAAAAAAAAAAAAAAAAAAAACTATAAGTTTTAAAGTTTTAAATAGAATGAATCTAGAAAAAACCCTTAAAACTTGTGATGATCAGAGCAAAAGTACAAAGGACGTCCCATTTACCAGATGTCTACATAAAATTATGTTCCATTCTTCATAAAGACTGGGAGTAAATTTAGAATTTTCAACTCATAGGAGTTTGGTGTGAAAATGTCAAGGCGGGCCAACACCAGATCTCAGCTTGTAGCCCATCCCTCTTCTTTCTCCACCCTCTATTCCAGGCATCCCCAAACTACGGCCCACGGGCCACATGTGGCCCCCTGAGGCCATTTATCCGGCCCCTCGCCGCACTTCAGGAAGGGGCACCTCTTTCACTGGTGGTCAGTGAGAGGAGCACAGTATCTGGCGGCCCTCCAGCGGTCTGAGGGACAGTGAACTGGCCTCCTGTGTAAAAAGTTTGGGGACGCCTGCTCTATTCCATTCTGTGCAACAAGTGGCCTCAAACTTGACTGTGAACACCCTATTCTGTACATTTAAGCTCCATACACAGCCCTGCAATCAACAGCCCTTTGGTCAGAACCGAGGCCTCGAGTCGGCACACTGATGTCATGTTCTTTCCTCAGGAGGACTGACCTAAGGAAGTGGCCTGTACAGGCTCTGGAAGTGAGCTCAGGGAATTAGGGAGGAAATTGCTTATGCAGATAACCCAGAGTATAGTTTAGAAGGGTTCCCTTGGCCCTGTGGCTGTCTTGCTGAGTGGAGCGAGGCCTGGCCAGAGAAGGCAAGAGTGCTTCTTCTAAATATTGATCAGAGTAGGAGCCTCTCTTGCTGGATCTAAGGACAGGATTGAGTAAATATGTCAAAAACTTTGTGAAGAGTGAAACCACACCTGGCATGAAGTAGTTTAGTAATTTCTTAAAACTTGACTCCTTTACAAATAATGAGTACTAGGTATGAACAACATTGGAGAACCAGATTTCTCATTATAATTAGCCATTTAAAAATTCATAGACTACTATCTAAGAAGAGTAGAGAAGAAGGATCTGACATTCTACATAAGATAGATTTAAATAAAATATCTTAAAGAAACATTGTAGGACAAAAACAGTCCCTTATTTTGAGATAGAACTGTGAACTTCTTTCATGGTTGTTCTTCATCTTTAAAAGTCTGGTTTGTAAGAGTTAATGTGTGTGCACATAAAATTAGGAATAGATTCTTATTATTTTATATATGCATATGTATATATGTATTACATATATGTTATACATATATGTGTATATAACATATGCATATATAAAATATCTGTGTATATATGTTTCTATCAGTTTTACCTTTATTTTCTAGTCAGTGTTTTTGGTGGGGTCATTTAGCTGTTTTTTGAATCATGTTCACAGGGGAAATAGGATTGGTAAAGAGGGAAAATAAACTCTTACTAGAATCAATTATATTCTCATATTAGAGGAATCACAATGTATTATTCCTGAAGGTCAAATTTATTCATGTAATTTGCTTTGTGGAGTAAGTTCATCAAGACAGTTGATAGTCTTAGGTGACTTTCCTTTCTTCCAATAGCAGTTCATAATTATCAAGTTTGAACTGTTTAAGTATTTTCCAACATTTAAAAAATATATGTTCCTTCTTCTTCATAGCCTTTTCTACCTTTACTTCCCTTAAAGCTTTAAGTATATCTGTTGGAAAAGATACCATATTTATGTTATGGTTCTTGATATTAGGAATATAGAGTAGAAGAGTAATACAGGAAATTTGACAGATACATGTCATATGTTGAACATTTACTATGTGCAGTAAATTGCCATAAGCAATGAATGTGTGGAAATACAGAAAGAGAAAGCAGTTTCTGAATAAGAGTCTATAGCAGTAGTTCTCAAAGCGTTGGCCCCACAAAAACAGCATCAGCATCACCATGAAACTTGTTAGAAATGCAAATTCTTGCCTACTCTTGTCCTCCTACTTCCAGGACACACTAAAATTAGAATTTCTAAGTGTATAGGTGCAAATCTATTTTGACAATCCTTCCAGGTGTGTCTGAAGAGTACCAAAGTATGAAAAACACTTACTCATATATTACTGGAAACGAAAAGAGAAAAATGAATTTACAGTCTAATCCATATACATTTATTTACCACCTCCTATATGTCGAGCCCTCTGGTGATAGAAAAAGAAGTAAGATAGGTCCCTGCCCTCGAGGAGATCATAGAGTCTAATTGTATACGCATATCCACTGTGTGCTAAACATTCTGTTAGGCTTTCAGGACAGTGTATGAGAAGAATAAATCCTGCTGCATGACCTCAAAAGATTACAATCCTTATGGATTGACAAATTGCCAATGTATGAAATAATCAAACAGAGTAAACATATACATATGAATATATATATACACATACATTTCAGTATGAGTATTATAGTATTTAAAAAAAATTTAAATGTTGTTTTGTGACAATGTTTTAAAACACTGTGAATCATATATTTATTATTGTAATATTGAAATTTTTACTTTTAGAATAACATATATTGAAATTTTATTTGATTGTTGAGAAGTATTATCTTTTGACTAAATGGAAAGTTTTTTTGCCCGTTGTTTTTAAAAGATTATTAAGAAAGTTTACAGCTGACCAAAAGTGAACTATGCATTAATGAGAATAATCAATAATATTTCTTCTTTAATAGTTGAAAGAAGAAGAAGGTATAATATTAATTACCGAATCAAGGAGCTTGGCACTCTTATTCCAAAGTCTAATGATCCGTGAGTTCAACAATCATTTCTATAATAATGTTATAATTTAAAGACCCCAAAAAATGAATGGGAGGTGAGAGGGGAGGAGAAAACCAATGATAGGAAACTAAGCAGCTTGTGGCAAAGATAAGGCAATTGCTGGGCTCATTTTGAACTGTCTATTCTAGGCTGATTCTTATCAAGGGTCAGGGTTGTTACTAAGAGTTGTCCTTTTGAACTACAGGAAGTAAATAAGTTGTTTCTCCTGAGTTCATAGTGAGTCTTTCTGTATGGTGACAATATTGTCAAATTTAGTGGTAATATCAAATGTTATTTATGATACTGACTGGTATATTTAATTTTTATAAGTATAATAATTCTTCCAATTTAATATTTGCATGCAGGTGGAACTAAGATTGTTAGATTTTTCAAGGTCCCCAAATTCTGGACACATACAAGTAACAAATGGAACTATAAAGGCATATTGATTGATGCTGACCAGGCTTTGTGCTGTATGCACAAAACGTCCATCAAACAAATTGCTTACTCTTGTAAATACTGAGAAATAAAGTGTTAATTAAAAATGTTGAATGGTTCTTTAAAATAGGTGAACACATATAATCCCAGCACTTTGGGAGGCCGAGGTGGGCAGATCACTTGAGGTCAGGAGTTCAAGACCAGACCAGCCTACATGCTGAAATACCATCTCTACTAAAAATACAAAAATTAGCCAGACATGGCAGTGCCTGCCTGTAACCCCAGCTACTCAGGAGGCTGAGGCAGGACAATCACTTGAGGTTATGGTAAGCCCAGATTGTGCCACTGTACTTCAGCCTGGGCAACAGAGCAAGACTCCATCTTAAAAAAAAAAAAAAACGAAAGAAAAGAAAAATCATGGACTCTGCAGCATTAATATAATGATTTGAAAATATTTCATTAAAATTGAGAATTTTCTTCTTCAAATACTGGATATTATTCATTATCCAGAAATGGTCATATTTGATAAAGTGATACTTGTAGGCCAGGTGCATTGTCTCTTGCCTGTAATCCCAGTATTTTTGGAGGACCAAACAGGAAGATTGTTGGGGCCCAGGAGTTCAAGATCAGCCTGGGTGCAATCCCATGAAATAAAGAAAGAAAGGAGGAAAGAAAGAAAGAAAGAGAGGGAGAGAGAAGGAAGGAAGGAGGGAGGGAGGGGGGAAGGAAGGAAGGAAGGAAGATGGGCATGGTAGAAAGCACTTATACTCCAAGCTATTCAGGAGGCTGAGACACAAGGATCACTTGAATCCAGGATTTCAAGGCTGAAGTGAGCCATAATCACACTACTACATTCCAGCCTGGTTGATAGAGCAAGACCTTATACCAGAAAAAAAAAAAAAAAAAAAAAAAAAAAAAAGTGATGTTTGTGAGATTTTAAAGTATTTTTTTCTCTAAATCAAAATTTGTTAATTTTCTTGGACAATTCAACAACTTGTTAGATAAGTGAATGTAATATTTGTTCTTATGTACATATTAGATTGTGAAGGCATATAGGGTCTGAGGGGATCAGGCCTAATTTAGACTCTACCTCAAACTCTTCAAATTTTTTAAACTCTCAAAACATGTGACTCTGTTAGCTAAAGAAAATACTTGTCTTCCTATATGCCTGTGTTTTTCATAAAAATAAAATCAAATAAGGTGTAGAGAAATAGTTTCCAAGTTATAAAGTTTTATGAGAAATTATTACTCTACATTTCAATAAAAACTTGATCTAAAGACTCTATTCTAGTTCTCATTCATTTTCTAGAACATGGGTTGGTAAATATTTTTTGTATATGGCCAGATAGTAAATATTTCAAGCTTTGCAGGCCATACATACAGTCTTTGTCACAATTATTTAACTCTGCCTTTTTAGCACAAGAGCAGACACAGACAACATGTGAATGAACGAGCTTTACCTCATCCAGTGAAATTTATTCACAAAAATAAGCTATTGGCTACAGTTTGTCTACCCTTGGTCTAGAATATGAAAATTCAATTTATGATAGATTCATATCTAAAAGAGACCAAAACTGGGAAAAATGCATTGCAAGCATTGTTTTTCTCTTCCTTATGAATCTCAGAAAAGGTGTTACTATTTGTTTTAATTCTATTATGTTGTTTGTAGATTTATTTTGGGTCTAATGGAAAACACATTAATTAGATGTTGAATATGTCTATATCTTTCTGTATATCACAGGTAGAGAAGACACTTCACTAAAAGATTTGGCATTCCAAAAATCTCAGTACTAATTCTCTTTAAATATATTTTATTCCTTGGCTTGCTGTGGACTCATCTGTTACTCCAGTGTCCCTCTTTAGGGTTCAGCAATAAGGGTCCCATGGTTGAATCCAGAGTGTGTCCTCTTAAAATGGGTTTTGCCTGAGAACCACAATCTGGCTCCATGGACTAAGGAGTATCCATCTACATGACAAAATTATTTTGGATCCATTTGTCAAATTTTCAGATGTTATTATGGATAATCTAAAAGTCACCGAAAACAAGAATGCTGAGGAAAGGGTAGGGTACCATAGAGGAGGCAAGTTTACTTTGAAGGTGAAAAAATGAAAGAAGAAATGACATTATTATATTATGGTAATTATGAAATTAACAAACAGTGGATCTGGAAAAAAAAAAAAGAGACCATACAAAATTTTAGTTTCAGTTTAGCAAATTTTAGAATAACTTGCCCAATAGGTGACTACAACCATTAAAATGACGAAGGACAGTTTTTAAAAATGAAAACAGTACCTTGGACTATACAATTACCTAGTATGAGATAGTTCAAATTATGTTCCATACCTGTTAATGGGTCATGGACTCACTCAAATGAGACAAATGCAATGTTTTGAACAAAAAAAGAATAGTATTGAAAATATGAGAGTATTACATGTAAAGAAAATAGGAAAACCCTGTGAAATGTTCATTGCAGTTTTGTATACTGAGGGTGGCAAGCCACTATATAAAACATATTTCTTATGACAGATGCATTCGAAAAGTGGGAAAGCCACAGGTTGACAGGAAGAGTACTGAACTGAGTGAGGAAATCTGGGGCTTATCCCCTAAACACCATATACTCTTGGACAATAGCAGAAATTGTGGCATGGTTGACCTTTGAGGAACTTTCCAGCTCCTGATTGGAATACATTTTGGAGTTGGCTTAGGAAATCAAAGCTAATACCTGAAGACACTTTGAATTCTATGACATTTTCATTTTTATGAATCAAAACATTCAAAAGTTTCTATTTCTTTGCAGGTCAAAATGGTAAGGTCAGAGGAAAAGAATGTAGAGAACAGCTGTAATTGGGAGGTATAGGTTGAGAAAATTATGTGAAAAAAACACTACCAGGCAATGACAATCTCTTGACCAGTGATAAAAAAGCACAACCCAAACAAAAATAACAATAAAAGACAAAGAGTAAAGAGCTTCTTTAACATGTGGTAGTTGTTTAGTTTAGCTTTCTTGGAAACACTTTTGTCCATATGTGTTTTTGCGAGCTAGGTTTACAAAAATTACATGAGTAGAAATTTCAAAATGTTATTAGATCATTAATTACTCTTGTTTTTGCACTCAAAAAAATTTCTAAATAGTTTGAAGTTTTTTTTACTTTATCTTCCTCCCACACAACCAAATTCCTCCTGCTTTTGTGTAAGAATGGTAGTTGGCGTAGAATATGAGACTTGACAAAACTTTCTAAGTCAGGAATCACAAAATGTTGATGCAAGCAAAAACATAAATAAATAAAAGATCTGTCACAGTATTTTTTCTTTCTTTTAAAATCTTTCTTTTTAATTTTTAATGTGTGTAAGTGGATATACAATCCTAAAATAACAACAGATTGTACATTTTCTATAGTTTTGCCTAGCAGCAATCCTTACTGAAATTTATATATTTGTATTATCTGCTCTGACTGTAAATGCATTCAGGCTTTTAATTCACCAAAGATTAAGATCTTAAAAAATTGTTTTGCAGAAAATGAAAGGCCAGCATCCACTACTAACATTCATTCTTTAGCCATGCCTTTACTGGTGTGTCTGTGTTTAAACAGTAACACCCCATATAGTATTTGCAATCCTGCTTTGTTGAAATTGTTTTGAGAGAGAAGCAAAAGTCTCCTTAGTAAATATGAAAAATAAAAAAAAATTGGGAAAGAATTTCATATATTAAAATGGCTTTAAAATAGAGAAACTTTTAAAAATGTATTGTAAGTGACGTCAGGTACAAATTGAAGGGAGGTTTGTTCTATGTTCTCTACTACCACTTTGAAGGTTTATTTTTGATGACAGTACTTTGAAATTCAGAGTTGGCCAGGGTTATCTTTTTTTATCCATTTCCCTGTCCTCAAGTTTTCCTCCCCATGAGAAAAGATGGCACAAAAAAGGGGTTCATGACGCTTTTGCTACTACAAGTTTAGTTCAGAGTCCATTATACTTTTCAGTTACAGGTACTTGGTTTAACAACAAAGATAGCCTGCCTTTCCCCACCTTTCCCACCACCACCAACCCACCCATTCCCCTCACCCTGTGAATCGAATGAGACCAACAGCCACTATAACCTTAAAGAAATGACAAAGCATTTTCAAATTTGTGATGTTCGGTTGACAACGTTTTGGTGCATTTCAGCAGACCAGGTTCCAGCAGGCATTTTCACCTGCTGGTAGAAAAATGTCTCTTCTTTTAGTATTTTACTGCTGATGGCATTGTCACATAACCAAAAATATACTGTAGAAAAATGTCATATTTCCCTACTTGTGTACTTTATGCTATATTAAAAACAACTCATGACTCTAAATTAAAAATGCATCAAGGTTTTCCAACAACTCTGATTAACATTTAGCCATTAGTTTGGACTCATTCTCCAAACATATTATCAGTTCTCATACAGTATTACATTCATTAGTGTATATTTTCAGATATCAAAATCAGTAGCCTCTTCCACAATTTCATATCATTAATTTCTCCTGTCTTAAAGGTAAGTTTTAATAAAATGATTTCTTCTATGCTATAGCCTAAAAAGTTATCCAGTAATGTTTAATTATATTTACGTATCTTCGATGTATTTAAAAACAGCTATTCATATCAAGCTTTTAAAAAGTTTTGATGATGTTTGTACATAAAAATTGACTAAATGGTTTTAGAAAGTTTGCTGTGTTATGTAAAGTGATGTTGCCAGAGACTGATTTGTTTCACAATTGCTCAGGATCACCATTCGGGAGGGAATTTATTTTTTTTTCTTAGAAACATAAAAGCAACCTTATTAGAAAGTAGGTTAAAAGATTGCTACATTTGAAATGATCTTAAAAAATTTAGGCTTAAGTTCTCAGCAATGTACATTTCCTAGTTCATTAATGCAGAAATACTGCACATAGATTTTAATCTTGGAGTTAATAATAAAAGCAATTTTCACTAAAAATATAAAAACTGTAATGGTAGAATCATGATATTGCATTTAGCTCTTCCACAAAAAGTCACTTTATTACTTTCTTTTGACACTTATTTTCATTCAGGGATTAATTTTACTATATAAGGGCTTCTTAACTATTCTATTAAAATTTCTATTCAGAAGCAATAATATCTAAGAGTGAATAATAGTCATGTAAATCATTATTTCATATTAATGTAGAAGATTTTGTAAGTTCTTATGAATTCTGCTGACATGCACAATTGTGAAAAGGTTATCTCTCCGTTCTACAGTGATATGCGCTGGAACAAAGGAACCATTCTAAAAGCATCAGTGGAGTACATCAAGTGGTTACAAAAAGAACAACAGAGAGCCCGAGAATTAGAACACAGACAGAAGAAATTAGAACAGGCTAACAGGCGGCTTCTACTTCGGATTCAGGTTTCTATAAGAATGTTGCCATGAGCCACATACCTTACATATGACTCATCCGTTTTCTTCATTGGTCTCATTTATTTTTTCTCTTATTAACAATTATTTTTCCTGTTGAAGGATAATTTTACCGCTTTTTAGAAGTTCGTGAATTGGGTTGTTTCAATTAGGTTTTGACTAGAAATCCAGTATCCAGATGGTTGAAAATGTATTGTGTATATATGTATATATACACACATATGTGTATATGTGTATATATATATGTATTGTGTATATGTGTGTATATATACATATATACACAATACATTTGTGTATATGTGTGTATATAAACATATATATGACAACAAATTACAAAATGCATAAAATAGAACTCATTTCATAAATGCACATCTTATTATCTCAATCAAATAATAATACTAAGTGGAACATTTGTTTCTCTAGCTTATAATGACCATTAAATTCTCCCTTCCCTCTTTCATTTCTTTACTAACATTGCTAAGGATTTCATTGCCTCAAGGCATGTTGTGTCAGTTTATATTAAGTCACTGCTTATATGTTCATATAATCCAAAATATCAAAACATGGGCTTTTATAACTCTCAAGGTTTTTTTAAATGTGAGTATGCTTAGAGGCAGGTAAAGCATTTACTCTGTTTCCATGAAAATGTTCTGCATTTTTGGTGAGAAATTAATCAGGAAGAATAAATGGATGATTTCTGCTGTCTTTAAATGGCTGTATTGTAGTCTGAGCCACTGTGGAATTATCATCTGTCATAAATTCTCTGGTAGAACAATGAGACTAAAATTTTTTTTTAAATCTGAGTAATTTTCTCAGAGTTATTTTTAGGCATTAGAAATGTATCAATTTCATTTTTGCAAAGATTATCATAATTTGTATTGTATTACTCTTCATTTTAAATGCTTGTTAATATTTTGCTTCTAGTCTGGCTTATTCTCTAGTATTAAGTCCAATTTCAAATACATTATTTAATGATTCTCATTTGAAATTACAGGAACTAGAAATTCAGGCTCGTACTCATGGTCTGCCAACCCTGGCTTCACTTGGCACAGTTGATTTAGGTGCTCATGTCACCAAACAGCAGAGCCATCCTGAGCAGAATTCAGTAGACTATTGCCAACAACTGACTATATCTCAGGGACCAAGCCCTGAGCTCTGTGATCAAGCTATAGCCTTTTCTGATCCTTTGTCATACTTCACAGATTTATCATTTAGTGCTGCATTGAAAGAGGAACAAAGATTGGATGGCATGCTATTGGACGACACAATCTCTCCATTTGGAACAGATCCTCTGCTATCTGCCACTTCCCCTGCAGTTTCCAAAGAGAGCAGTAGGAGAAGTAGCTTAAGCTCAGATGATGGTGATGAATTGTAAGAAATAAACAGACTCAATTCATCAACTGGAAAGCAATTCTACGCTGGTGCTATGCAATCATGCTCTGTGTTTCATATGTTGCTTTGGCTTGTTTGTTTGTATTTTTTTTCCAAAAGGAATGTGTCGTTCATGAAAAAATGATAGAAGCAACAGAAGAATTCACAGGAAGAAAAATCATGGTGTTAATGAATTATTGAGGGCGAAAAAGAGGTGTTTTCTTCTTTGACTACAGAGTCCAAATACACTTAAATTTTGTTTTCTTGGAAAGAGGTACAGCATAAGAAGCAGCTCTTTACTGATGTTTTAAAAGCAGCAACTTGGTGGTGTGCTACTAGAACTAATGACTGCAAAGTGTAAAACGACCGAAATATACAAATCTTCTCTTAGTTATTCACTTCCATCTTCTCTTCAACTCTTACATCAGACTTCAAGAATCAAAATCAACATATCAGGTGGTCATTACCTTTGTCCATTGTCTAGTGGATATGTCTAAAGTTCAAGCTTTGTAGAAGAAATAATTATATAATAGATTATCTTTCACTTGTGGTTGAAAAGCAAATCTACAGTAAACGTGAGAATTTTCTGTAATAAAATAGATAACTTATAAAAACATTGGTTATTAAAATTAGATTCTAATTTCTTTAGTTGGTTCAGTTACAGTAATTCTAAAAGCATCTATGCATATTTATGTCTCCAGGCTCTGTCGGGAAAAGAAACACATTGAATATTTTCCTCAGGAGTATGGACCAGAATTGTATCCCTTCACACAAACATACATCCATACGTATACACATAATTCAGGTAGTATATAGTCTTCTATTTTCTTCATTCTTCCAATTGCATTAAAATCACATTCTAAATTTTCTTTTCTTCATTAAGAAAATATATCAGATCACCAATTTCAGTCAATAAAATACAAAAAGTCCCCTACACGGACAATTTTCAGGTGTTTAAAACTTTTCATCATGTCCAATATGGGATAGAAATCAATTAGTTGTTGATTCTGTTTTGTTCCAGATGGATAAAATATTGAAAATTGAATTGCCAATTGACAAAACAATGAGTAAAACAAGAACTATTTCTTATTGTTTTCAGTTCTCAGAGGAGCATAAGGTTCTGTTTCTTTTTCTTTTTTTTTTTTTTTTTTTTTTTTTCTATTTCTAGTAGCACTTAGAGAGGCCTATGATCTTTGGTTACACTGTTAGCATTTATTATAAGCACTTATATCTGTGATGCCTCACTCAGATTTTTATCTCTTGTGCTTGTTTTAGGTTAGGAAATTAAGTTACCAAGCATGTTGCTCTGTGCTGGACCTCCATGAGTGATCATCTGATCAATGAGTATTTATGGAGGCATACTCAGAACTGCAGTGGGTCCTGAGAAAATGCAGAAGGGATGAACAAGATATGGTGTTACTCCTAAAGTAGTTAACCAGAATGCATGAAAAACAAAAGATAGAAGACATAGAATAAAAAAATCTAAGCATAAGTTGTAAATACAGAAGGTCAAAGAAAATGAAAATGAATGACAAAGTTTGTGAGAACAGCAGAATTTGACTTCTCTTTAAAGGCATTAATTGAGTGAATGCGAGAGCAAATAAAGGAATAATATCAACCAAATTATGAAAGTGAGAATAATTGGGGGAGTGTCTTTATGGGACATTCTCTAGAAATATCTGGATACCCCAGAAGATGCCTGTTGGGGAGTTCTGAAACACAAGATTGACAACAGGTTGTGAAGGCCCTTAAAAATTAGGGTGAAATAATATAGTATTAATATAATAGAAACACTTTTTTTTAGTAGGAGGGAGGACCCTAAAAATTAAAATATATATTAGGTAACTTGAGTGAGATATAATCTTTCATGAAGGTTAAGCTTTGGGATGAATTTTGAAATGATCTTTTAGTTATTTCTCACATGGAAAATATATCACTATAAGAGTTGAGACCCTAAAGCTCATAAAAGTAGAGAAATAGTAAATTCTTATGGTCTAATAATTATCTCAGGCTTAGCTTACTTGCTCAGATTTAGAAAAGTTAAAATAATTTGTATTGTTTGGCATGGAAAAATAATTACTAATTTCCGGGTACAGCCATTAAAGCCTGATAGATAAATTCATCTGAAATATGTCATGTAAAACAGCTATTAGATATATCTTCTCAATAATTTTCAAGAATACGTTACATACTTTTAATTTTACAAGAAAATTCCACTTTATTATCTGTGTTGATAATTTGATTTAACATTAAAAATTATAGAGAAGGAATATATTTGGAATTCATGGACAACGTATCATTTATAAGATAGAGACTGCTCCTGTTTTCATTTTATCTATTATTCTCATTTCTTTATGAACAGACTTTCACTGATGATGTCATTACTCAGTCACTATTTTTCATTCTGTTAAAGTACAACAACGGGGCCCTGAAACCTATCCCTCACAATCTTGGCTGATATAAGGACTTGGCACAGGACGATAGAGCCTAAACACAACAGATCTGGAGAGGGAACTAATGTCTGCTGCTACATTCAGATTACAAGATGTCAGGGAACTGTAAAATGGGTAATGAATTTTTAAAGAGAGTAAAGAGTTATGCTGTGTCTCAGTCAACTGAAATAGATTAAAAATTAATTAAATGGTAGTTCTTAACTTTTTAAGGCAGATTCCCTTAAGAATCTAGTGAGTTATAGACCCTCTCCCTAGAAAAGTATAGAACTGTTTAAAAGGACAAAAATTTGCATGCATTCAGAGATCTTAGGATCTCCTGAATGTTTTCTTGGACCCCAAGTGAAAAGTTCCTGAATCAGGTCTGTTAGGTGTGCAGTTAATGTCATGTATAATGATGGGGGACCCCTACTTATCTAACTATAGTCATCCCATTCCTAATAATCATAAGGTTGCATAGGGAAGTAAAAGTGTAGCAAAAATTAGATGATTCACTAAAAAGTTGTTCGTTTACATATTCATTTTTCAAACATGACCTGCCCTCTCAACAAACTATGCCTCATCTTTATTATATAGTTATGGGTCAGTTTTCCTATAATTACTGAATGATATAAACATCTGACCATAACATTTTGAAATGATGCAAATAAATTTCAGAACAAAAATAATGTGAATTTAAAAGTAAATTATTTGAGTATATAAGAATCAAGATAGTTCCTTAGAAAAATTATGACTGTCTAGAGTATGTTTTGCAGAAATGAGATTTTTCATAATAGTAAAAGAGGCATATTGTTAATCAAACAATGCTGTCACAAAAAGTATCAACTGTAATGGCACTATTAATACACAATTATCGATTTGTTCATTCAATTAATATACAATTATTCCTTTTCATTTAAAGAATTCATAATTGCAATTATTAAAAAAACTTCCTTTAAAGTAAGATAAAATAATAGTATTGCTTTTCATTGTTTTTCAAAATAATGTCCCATCCAATCATTTTCTGTATTATTAAATGTTGGCTGCTTTTTCATAGATTCACATTAAATAGCCTTTTCCAACTTCCCATTATCTTAGAATAATAATGACCTCCTGTGAGTAGATACAGCTCTTTACAACTTTTTTTCTTTTAGTGCCTTTTCTTCCTGAACTTTTCCTATATCAAATGGAGACTATAAGTACAGATAATATTTTCTCAGTTTATAGGCATATCAGTGACCATGGCTTTCTTTGTATAGGTTTTAAAAAAGTTCTAAATAATAAATAGCCAGATGAGCTGGGGACATTGAGAAATAGCCTTCCTCTTCCTTTTTCAACTCATTTTTCCCCACCTACATGACTGTAAATCAAATATTTAATAGTTCTTACTTAAAAAAAATAGATACAAAGAATGTCCTGATTTGGTATGCTCATTTACCATAATGTCAAGAGAAAAGTTAGATTTCATAACTTTAAAAAGAATATATTTTTATTTTATTTTGAAAGACTGCATCGTACAGGAATTTTCTTATACTTCAAGGGATCATGAAAATACCTTTTTCCTGTTTGGATGTTGTGGAATTTAAACATTTAAATAAATAAATGGCATAACTGAGTGTTCCACAGTTTTTTTGTTTTGTTTTGTTTTGTTTTGTTTTACAATGTCTTTGACCCTATACAAACATTTTAGGTATTTTCTGACCATCTGATATGTAAGATGTGGAAGAAAATTGGAATCAATTAATTATTTCACTGTGTTATCAGTGCAAGATCAACCATCTGGGTTTCTTAAAAACACCTGAAGGACTGGATTTTGTTTCAGTGTTGAGAATGGCATAGTCACTATGTGCTATATGGAATTACATCATTTGAGCCTCCAGTGCCCCATATGTGGATAAGTATGTCAGTTCGACTTAATGTATGTATATACAGAGATTTCATTACATTTACCTAATAAATACTAAATACACTTCAAGTATTGCTGATCCCATATTTTATATGACCCTCCTATAGTCATGGTGCAGTGATGTTCCAATATTTTATTATTTGTATGAATTTTAATTTGCAAACAAGGAAACAATTCAAAATCAGAAAAACATAGCTTTTCTTAAAATTTTCTGTGCTACATTTTCCCTCTGAGGTCCATAGAGAATTTGAGTGTATAGCAGATTATGAGAAAACAGCTATTTTGATTAAAAAATATATCCCTCAGGATTCAACCAACTTAATGATGAAATAGTATTATTTACTGCTTTATACATAAAAGGAAACTTTTTATCTGCTTGTAAAGGGATTTTTATGTGTATTTCTGCATAATCAGATGATTTCTATTGTGTTTTCTACTGATGAAATTCTCTGTAAAATGTATTTTCCTTACGTTATCCAAAAGGCATAACAGTAAAGACTTTTGTGTCTGTAATACTACTTCTTTTATCCCTGCACTACTGTTTTATTTCAAAAATTCCATATTTTCAACTTTATTTTTTCCACAGAAATAAATTTTGGTTTTGTGTTAAAGCTGGTAGTTTATGTAACAAACAAAATATACAAAAGAAAGAAGAAACTGATTTTGCTGAATTATGTATAATTAGGAAGTTACATGTTGTTCTTTAAATATGATACTGAATTTTAAAAGCCAACTAAATTTAAGAATCTTATTTAACAGCATAGCAGTTGCTTATGGCATACAAGGCTAAAATTAATTCAGCTATTTAATCTTAATAATTATAATGTAGTTAAAAATCTTTGACTTTAATAGTGTTTTACATATATGAATAGCTGAAGTAATATTCCTATAATTTTAATCTAACATTGGTTAGATCAAGACAACATTGTTAATATAATAAGACTGTAGAATTTGTAATTATTGGTATTTTTCATTTTTAATAACTAATGTGTCTTATTTTCTAAGAAAATAGAGAACCTTGGTATACTTTAATACATAAGTGAATCTTGTAAAAATACCTTAAAATGTACCAATATTTTCTTTGCATATATTAAATGAAAGACTATAAT